GAAAGGTATCTCGGTCTGCATTATTCAGATGTCGGATGAAGGAGAAAACTTCGGCCGGTCACGAATACTATTCGACTTCGTCGAGGTTCAGTTAAACATAAGCCGCGTTAATTTATCATCGCTATCGCAACTGCGTTCAGAGATATGGCAATGTCGCCCGTGGATGATCGCTCGGCTCATTCCGAGTTAATTCCGCCAAATTCGCCGGAGAATCCATTCCCGAGGCGCATGTCGCGTTACATCCACCTTCATCCTGCATATTTACTCCAAAAATCGAGTTTGCGTTTTTAATTTGAAATATCCACACGCTTCTCGTCGTCGTTTGCATAGTAAAAATATTTCGTACTTGTTAAAATCGATCCTTGTTAAAATTTTTGTGTTAAATTTTTAACATACCTGTGTGTTAATTTAACATATTGTATTGATGTCATCTCAATATTTTATATTGAGTCGATATTCAACATATGTAAGTGTTAAAATAACACATTTTATACTTCAGTATCGATTATCGTATTTCAATGTGTTAATTTTTGCCATAATATTTGTGTTACTCTTCAACATATGTATCTTATATTAAATTAATACAAAAATTTACGGATGGACCGTTTGCGATATATGAAATGTTAAATGAACATACATATAAATGCGACAAATGAATTTTAAAAGACGACGGGTAAAACAGTTTTAGCCACAGAAGTAGCAAGTAAAAACGGCATGTTTTATCATTTTTGAGCTGCTGAATCTGATTTTGACCTTTAACAAATTTTAATTTTAAAAACAATTTAAATGTAATTTAAAAGTATCTTACTATTGTAATATTTTACTATCTGAAATTGTGCAATTTTCGCAAAAAAACATTTTCAAGTTCCAAAATCTGTTTTAACCGAATAAGGTTTTCTTCATTTATTAATCTGTGTTGTTCACATATCGATCGATTTTCATTTAATATTGTTTATTTTATTATAGTTTTACATTTTCATTAACTGTTCTCATAATAGCTTTCTATATATTTAATCACTCTGTATGCTGATTTTAATATTTTACCGACAAATTAAGATTTTGTAAAGATCAGATTCAGCAGCTTAAAAAGTAGAAAAAAGAAATATACTGTTTTTACTTGACGTTCCGGGGGCCAATTTTACCCATCATCCTTTAACACAAACATTTTTTACCGTGTAACATGATTCCCGGAGAAACTTCGCATTCGGCTTCCTTCCGCGGGAAATATTTGTGAATCGGAACAACAAGCTACTACCTATCACTGTTACGTTTCTCTTCACGCAGCTGCATACACATACAAGTCGCGTCTCGTGCGCTATTCCGCGCTGGCCTGTGCTATTCTAGAACCCGGGCTTCGTTCCGCAAAGACCACGGCACGGCGCACAAATCAAACCGCCGCGCTGCTGCAGGCCGCCCTGGCCGAAACGCGGCCTGTGTCCCGAGGTGAGATCTTGATGGACCGTTTCGGGAGGCCGGAGAGAGACGATGTATAACCGCGCGAATATCATTTCAGTGGCACGCGTGTTGCGCAACGCGCGCGCGTTCTTGATCGAGGGATCAAGATCAAGAGAGACGCCGGGGCGCACGCGCGTGTACAAAAGCGCGATAAGAAAAAAATGAAAGGAACACACGGGGATCACACTCTCATCAGTGACTCGGACGGTGAAAGTTTTTCGGTTATCGAGCATCGTGTCCTAGACCGTAAAGAAACAACGCGAGGAACGCGCGTGGAGTCGTGCGGGAGTTGTCACGGCGGTCTCGCGAACGTGTATGGCTTTCTCTTTTGACTTGGAGCATCGATGTCGGTCTCTTTTTGATCGAATTCTTTCCTTTATGCCTCAGCGCGGGCCAAACAAAAGACGAATCGGCTAATATCAAGATTCTGAAGATCTAATCTACTCACAGTAAGTAGGATGTGTAAGAAATGCATACGAAATGTTAACGTGTACACAGAAAAAAGTGCTACAAGTAAATAATTATTCCGATATTTTCGGATTAAATGTAAATATTTTCTTTGCGTAATTTACTGAGAAAATATTTTATGGATCAAGTAAACGTTATACTTGATACAAGTAAAAATTTGTTAAGGCGTTATTATTCGCTTAAATCCAGCACTTTTTTCTGTGCACACATACGAAGGAGATGCTTAAATTGTTTTTAGCAGTCATGTAATAAAAAAATATGAATCGCAAATATATACATACAGAACTCACCTTTGGCTACGACAATTTGCGATTTCTCGTGAAATTTATCACGTTAAGTCATGCTTTAAGCTTCATTATTATCGAATTTGTAAGGGAGGGAATTTTAACTTAATGGAATTTAAGTGCGTTCGACGTACATGAAAATAAACGTCAGAAACGTACATATTGCAATATGAGTGTGTTTAGAAAACGTGTTTAGAGAACCTCGCACGGCGGGAAATAACTTCTGATAAATCGCTGAGTTAAAGCGTAATGCATGTCCGTATGAAAAATGTAAAAAATAAGAGCGCAAGAAGAACGTTAAAAGTTTTATTGGCGATAAATGGGATAGAAAAGATGATGCACATTCATGCGCGAAATGTCAAATTGCCGTCGAAAAATAAAGTATTAGCGTCGTAAATCGCGGTATACAGTGACTAAAATGACATCCCTTGAATTGTAGTGACGACATCACGCGCGTCATTATTTTTCGGATATTCGCCAATGCGAGAATGTCACATTATTGTTATTTTAAGAGCATCGGCCATGCACATACGCGCAAACAAGTCGCAATAAAGTGCACTCGAAATATATCAACGCGGATTAGAGTGCATACTCTAAAAGTGTCTAACGTCATTGTGATGTTAGGAAAGCGTGATTGTCAGAGATACATGCCACAATTTATATTAAAATATGTATCATAGCTCATAATCATTGAAATTATCGAGTAAACAAAGTGAAGGTGAGGGTACCGGTGGCCAGTCCATTCGGTGAGAAGTTCTCCTTGCGTCTCGATCGTACAATCGAAAAGAAAGGATCGCGGGAATTCTCCGCGGTTAAATGCAACCTTATCGAGCGCGATTCGATAATTGAGCGAGCGAGCGACGGCGGCCAACTGGCCGCGAAAATAGAGCATCATCCGCGTTAACGAAGAGGGAAGGTCGCGACGCTATATTTCATGAAACACGGAGTCCTCTCCCAAATTATGACCGTTCATGAAATCTCCAATGAAGTTAAAACGCGATGCATCACGAATTAAAAGGCCTAAGGAGCTTCGCTAATCAAACCTCAGAGGAATGAAAACGAGTGGAATATGTCTTATTCTATATTTTCAAAGTGTTAAAGTGACTGATGAAATGGTTGATAAAGCGCTCATTAAGGTCCGACTGCACCAAACTCCAATTAAACGCTAGTTAGTTAAGAAAAGAAGTTAAGTCAACTAAATTCTTATTTGAATATGGGTAAACAAATTTTACGGTTATAAGAACCAAGATTTGGCTCTTTGGACCAAAAATTTGGTTCTTCGAAACCTTTGAAACTTTAGAAAACCAAACCTCGAGTTTTATATTCAGAAATTGTTTGCCTATGTCCAAACAAAAATTTAGTTGATCCAAGTAAATGAGTTCCTCAATGTAAGCGACGATTAACTCACAATATCACTAACTGAAATTTCGGTTGCGGAATAAATTGAGAAAAAGGAGAAGTTAGAAATTTCAGTTATTCTGTAAGTTAATTGTCGCTTAACATAATCGGAGTTCGATGCAAACGGGCCTAAGAGTCGAAATTTCCCATATCTCTCTGCGTCTCGTCTGCTTTATAACACAATTTCATTATATTCAATAAGCAATCATCTCAAAAGTAATCCGAGGTAGCCGTTGGGTACGGAACGCGTTTTCGTCCTCGGAATGTGAAAAAGTGTTCAAAGCGCTCTCGGAAGACCCATCGTCACGTCGCGAGCTTTTCTCGCTTACGGCGCGCTTTTCCGACACGCGTGTGGCAGCGATCGAGGAAGAGAAAAAGAAGTGAGAGAGAGAGAGAACCGCGCGACTCGGCTTAGCTTGGTGTCGGATGGCGGCGTGGCTTGTTGCAGCGACGGCGCGGCGCGGCGCGGTGTCAGAGGTTCCCCTACTGGAGAACGTAGAGCGCAGCATTGCTGCCGTTTTACAAGGAGGGTTCTCTCTTCCACTTCCACAACTCCTCCACCGCACGGCGCGCCGCGGATTCTCCTCGTCGGTGAGCGAGCAGCGCCGGTGCCCGTGGCCGCTGTCCCAGTCGTCGCCCTACTTTGTCGAAGCCAACTCAGCTCGACACACACTCGGTTTACACCTCCTCTCGGCACGACGGCGGAGACACACGTTTCATGCACGCGCGCGTACACGCGCGTACACAGGACGCACACGCGCCGCGCAGCACGACGTACCACGACGGACGCGTCGACGCGCCGACGAAGACGCAGGAGATGCGCGCGAACGCCGCGTGTCTCGGCCCCGTGAGAGACGGTGCCCAGTGGTGAAACTAGTGGTGAATCCCCGGTGGTGCCAGGGGAGCATCAACGCGCGCGGCGACGATCCATCGGGTGCCCCGTCATCGGCCGAGCCGAATTTCGATCCGCGGCACCCCCTCGCACGCACGGCCTTCGCGAGCTGCGCGCGCTGGATGAACCCGCTCTGAGTGAATCCCCACGTGTGCGTGTACAACGTGACAGAGAGAAAGGGAGAGGAAGAGAGGAACCGGAAGCGGTCGGTGGTCTCGCGAGAGGCGACCTACGGTGCCCCCCTGTGTGTGTGTCAGTGCCTGTGTACGCGTGTGTGTGACCTACGACAACCTGCCGCCCGGTTTCGGCCCCGCGCCACCCGAGTGTGACGTTCGCCGACCCGGCCGAATCCCTCGCTCCACTTTTTCCGCGGAGGTCACGAAGTTGCCGCGCGTCAATTCGGAAGGTCGGCCAAGTAGGAGGTGGTGCAGCGGGTGGAAGAAGAGGAGGAGGTGCGTCAAATTGGAGGTGGAGGTGGATGAGGAGGAGGAGAACGACGAGAAGAAGGTGGTGGTAGCGCGAGAAATCGAAGCGCACTCGGACAATTCTAGAATTATCGGCTGCGGACGTTGCCCTCAACACGCGACCGTCGTCCCGTGGTGCTCTAACGAGGCCGATCATTAAATTCGGAGAGAATCCCGCACGAGAACGCCAACGCAACGAAACGCGACAGAACGCCACGCAACGCGGCTGTTCGTGCGCGAAGGTGCGCGCAGATCGTTTCACCAACCGTCGGATCGGAAGTCGCCGATGTGCCAAGCTCGTGGCGACCAATTCGTAAACCTCTTCGCAAGATCCTCGACAGATCGGGAGATCCGATCGACCGGCCGAGGGGAACGCTCGACTCGGCTTGCTCGCGTTGCTGACGAGAGAAAGTGCACGAACCGGAAGTGTCATCGAGCGAGATTATTCAGCGCCACAATTCTGCCGTTCTCTCTCTTCCTCTCTTTCCGTATCTGATATTCCGCATCTTTCTCTTTCCTTTTGTCATTACCTTTCGCCAATATCCAACCGCTACGCTACGTGCATCTAGCAGGATTTCACGGTTATAAACGCGGTATCGAGACCTCTGCACATCGTCGACGTTGTCGCCGAGGACCAACGGGTCCGCTACGGCAATGTGAAAAACCCCACACCGCCGCCGGCTCTGATCTCGTAACACTGCCAATTGAAAAAGAAAAACAAAATTCGACTGACCGATCGAAAACCCATCGCCTTGCCTGCCTCGCGATCTCTTCGCTTCATCCCCGCGCGGGAGCTCGACCACGGCCAAAGTCACACGCGGATCCTTTCCGGGTCGGGCATGCGCTTCGGCCGCGCGTCCTCGGAACGCCACGAGAGTCCACCGAAGAGGACCGGAAGAGATCACGGCGGCGAAGCCCACGATTACACTGCCGTTGCCTTCTGAGCGCGCTCGGAAACTCCAATTTAACGAGACACTGCCACAATATTCAGACAAAAAGAGAATAAGACAACAAGAGAGGCACGCACGAGGAAAGCCAGCTGTGTCGACCGATTCGAGGCATATTGAAAGAGAGAGTGAGACTAATAGACTACATTGCAATTGAAATTTCCGCGATTAAAACGAGATCGATCCACGATATCGCAGCAAACGAATTTCATCGTCATATTCCTCCGTTGGACGATATGTTCAGGGGGGCTTGGTTTCGGAGAACGAAGGTCTACGAGAGAATTCAACGCACACAGGATTCGATAACCGTGCGCCGATAGATCAGCGCGACTTCCTGTTAAACAAGTCGCGCGCGCGAGTAGAAGAAGAAGAAGGGGAGCGGGCGACCGTGTTATCTAACAGTTGCACGGTTGCAATCTAACGGTTGCAATCAGCATTTCGGAGCACTCATGCGTACACGCATGTGAACGAGGAGGGTCGTCAACGAACGCAAGCTTAATCGCCAAAAAGAGAGCGGCGGAAGAAAGAAAAGTAGAGAAAAGGGACGGTCGCGGATGGCGAGAGTCGTCGATCTTCGACGATTGGCGTGTCAGTCGAGGATTTCGTCGCATTCACTAGGAGACCCGAGTAATTGAGATGTTTCCGCGCGAGTGACTGAAAATAAGAACGATCTTGAACGGTCCTCAAGGAGCACTTGAAGACAGGTCTTGCGGAGGGGTGGCGTGACTGATCGTGCAATGTTTGTTGTTCTATTGGAAACCGCGTGAGAATGGCAGATAACGATATTTAACGATGAATCAGAATTGTTATCTGTATGAGTAGACTTGATAGTGATTTAGGGGGCAGTGATCGAGCGTATGGTTGACGAGTTTTCGTGTTTCAAGTTCCGTGTTTAAAGTCATTATATCCGCTGAGTGCTCTTTCTGAGTATTGTTTCGAAGTCGCGGCGACGATCTTCGACCCCGTTGGTAGGTCGTTATCGTGATTTACACAACGAGAGCACCGAAAAATCGCGAGTGTACAGAATAACGACGGAAGCATTGGAAGCGGTCAACATCGCAGAAGAAAGTTATATCGAGATATACCGCGGAATCCCGATCGGGGATTGACGTCGACCCTTGCGAAAGCAGTTTGCTCGGAAACGAGGAAATCGCATACGAATAGACTGGCCACGAAATCGAAAAGACGATCATGATGTCTTTTTGTTATTATTCTGTCACGAGATAATTGTCTCGACCGAAATCTACTGCACTGTTAGGACGTGTCGTCCGGCGTGTTATCCGTTCCACTGCCTTTCCGTCTAGATGAGACGAGATCGTCCCGAAGCCGTCTGAAGCAAAGAGCAAAAGAGAATATAAAAACCATATATAAATTATTTATAGATTACTTATAGATCTCAACAGAGAGAGAGAGAGAGAGAGAAAGAAAAGGAGAGCCTCTACAAAACACTCGTTCAGCGCGATCAACGTGCGTTCGTCGTTTGTCGTTCGCGCGCTTGCAACTTCGCACAGTACGTAATATAACGCTTCATCGCTTCTACGCGTTCAAGAGTACAGTATCCCGCGTTAATTGCGCATTCCGAGGCGCGAATAGTTTTTAACACGATCAGCAATCGGACTCGACGCGGTGGCCGCCACGTCGAGGATCGCGTTCCCAACGTCTCGGTGGAACCGACGTACTCAGGGTGGTGCATGGCGCCGGAAGTGTCGGGCCGATGAGGAACAAGTGCGCGTGCAAGTGCCTGAGAAAACGGACCAGACGGCGAGGTCGCGTGAATTTTTCGTCGTCTTCTTCGCGTAGTGCGTAGTCGAGCGGGAGACGTCTGTCCTCTCCCGTGCGTGTGTATTGTGCGTGCGCCGCTAGAACGCTGACACGAAAACGCGAAGCGAGGAAGTCGATTACTGCCCTCGGCGATCGTCCTCGTCGGTATACCGACATCGCCACGGTGGTCCACGTGGTCACCGCGACGACCCACCTGTCGTTGGTGCAGTTTCGAGAAGAACCGCGGCCCGCAACTACGATTTTCACACCTTGGATGTCCTAAGCGGAAAAAGATGTAAGTCGTAAGACGTCGCGTGCCCTGCGTTTCATTTACGCGACGTTTCGAAACATTCGACGAGAGAGAAAGAGACAAGGTAGTTCGTGGTGTGTTTGGCGATGCGCACAATATACCAAGGAGTGAAATTTAACGCTTGGAACGAGCGAGTTCCAAGGAAATTTTCCTTGGAATTCACGGGCAAGCTGCTGGTATTGACACTCCGCGGTATCAATATACTGCTGTTCAAAACAATCGGAGGTCACCTCCTCAATTATCCACGTCACCTAACAGGTGTGTGAAGTACGGAACTTTTTTAAACCGGTGTTCACAATTGAAAATTATTTACGATCTTTGAGCATAATTAACTGCAGGTTCATATTCGCGGATCGTTATTCAGTTATTAATGATAAATATTTTTGATGTACGAAGTAAGAGAGAGTAGTATAGATTGACGAATAATCAGATGTTTACAAAGCTTAGTTTATCTATCAAGTAATGACGCACTGTGAACATACCGGTCTTGGTATATCAATTTTCATGATATATATTTTATACAACTATTTATACATACACTTAAATTTTATTCATATTTAGAAATCATTTAAAACGAAATTATTCGTTCAATGCAATCCCTCTTATTTATTTTGCACGGAGTATCAAATGTTTATATGGGATTCTTGACATTCATTTAGGTCGAATAATAAAAAATGTATTGCCCATAATTCAAAATAATGAAAAAAATTCAAATTGATCTACATTGCATTTAAAAGCGGCATTGAAAATTGGGCAGTAATTCAGAGCCGAAATAAAAAATTATTCCACTAAAAGAGGTTGTAAGGTGAAATGAATTTGATAAGAATTTCATGAAACTTGCGCTACGTATACATTGAAAAATGATCTAACTCACTGCTTGTGCAATTAAAAAAAGATTGATTATTTAAGAGCTAAGGCATTTGTAACTAAAATTGACACTTTTTATATGTATTTTCACGTATTTGTGTATTCTTTACGTGTTGAAATCAGCGAACTATTTTTAATTTCTATTTTTANTAGCGTGCTATTTTTAATTTCTATTTTTAATATTTTCTAAACTAAAAATAAGATTCTGATGAAAAACTGTGATATATTAAAGACTAATATGCAAACATTATACACAAATTTCAGAATTATTGATCGTTTTGTTTTAAAAATATAGATGTGCAAAGTTCATAACTTATATAGTAACATTCGAAATACATATACATATACGCACCTTTAAATATCTCTTTCTATCATCTGTATATAAATATCGTATTAATAAAAAACATTAATAAGAAAAATAATATTTTCGTATTTGTAATATTGTATATATGTTTACCTCAACTTCACTTCAAATTAACATTTATTATTTAAACAATGAAACATATATATAGGAACGTAATTTTGCTTGACGAATGCTACATTTATGAGTGGTCTCTTTGATACGTCAATGAAAATACAGCATTAATAGACAATACATTTTTAAATATCACTCAGTATTGCTAAATGAAGATATTTTTTCTTAATGTACAAGTGTTACAACACATTACGATATGTAATGTATAATTCATTTCCCGCGACAGCGAATGCATAAAGTGTACAGCCAACGATATTAATAGAGTTATTATGAATCGATGATAGGGAATTGATCAAAGTAGATAATAGGCGTACCTGCAAAATGTAGCGCGATGTTGCGTCAGATCATCGCACTCGCATAAACACGAACGCACGCACCACCGTCATCCGGATACCGTTGGGGAACGTGCGACAAATAAGCGAGTCTCATCCGTTATGCGGCGTTTCCGAGCGAGATACACAAGCCGGTGACCGTCGCGTAATCGAGTCGCGTGTCATTGATGAGACGAGTCGAGAGAGAAAGAAAAAAAGAGAGAGAAGGCGAAAAAGCACGTATTAATGGTATGCAAATCGCGGATGGTGTACGCGCTGGGAAGCCGTCGAAAGGTCTAGGTCACGATTCACTTCCGGCAGGTGGGCCGAAATTTGCGAGAATTTGTTAAGCAAACCGAAAGCGCGAAGGACGAGGCCTCCACCCAAATGTACATCGCGCCTCGTCGCGACCTACGAGTGAAAAAGAGCGCGGTAGAGGAAGACACGCAGACCTGGTGAGCGCGAGGATGTTGATGCAAGCGAGCGTAGAAAACGCGGTAGAATAGATCACGAGAGACGGAGAGAACAGTTGCGAAGGAGAGAGCGTTCTTTAACAAATTCTTTACCGTTAACCTTGACGCGGCCATTAAGAGACGCGAGAACACCGATCTATGTCGACGCGGACGGCCGCGCAAGACTATGTGTGTGGCTCGCGGCGAGTTACGCGACGATTACGCGCGCTCCGACTAACGTCGATTCGTTACTATTTATCACCCTTAGCGGGAGGAGGATATTACGCTCACTGGAATAGGCTCAGAAAAGCTTCGCCGCGCGGAACTTCGATAAAAACTTGACATTCGCGACTGTCGCATAATGTTTATACTTAACTCTTTCAGTACATACGACATATATATACATCGTTGAAAAGTGGCTTCTCAATTGTATACGCCATGAAATTAGATCAATAAACTGCGAGTGCTTATAGAGGACACCAAAAGTAATTTTTATCAATAAACCTATGTCTGCAATGAGTCGTTTTAGCTCTAAAATAAATTATTTACAGCAATTGCTGGAAGTGTGGCTATTTATCGTCCCCATAAATAAAATATATCGGCCAGCTTATTAAAGAAAAAAAATTTCCATTTTGAAAACGAATGTTGGATAAACAATAAAGAAACGCTGTAATACAGTGCTCGCGAATCATTAAATTAACGATATTAATTCTACTTATTTGGAAATTCTATCATGAGAGTCTAATACATATTGATGTGAAAATTCTCAACAATCTTCAGTTTAACCCTTTCGGTACATTTGACGAGTGAGACTCGTCATCTGCTTACTTGGGCATAAAATGTATTACTTTTACATATTAATCCATATAGCGGCAAATTAAATCCGTTCCATGGGCATAAAAATCTTAAAATAATTCAGTACTCAAAGGGTTAATAAAGTAATCTTTAAATATTTTTATCAAAAGAGATAGCAACAAAAACCAGAACGAGGAAAAAAATAATTGCTATTTCTGTATCGAAGTAAATAGCCAGTACTTCGAATTGCTGTAAATAATTCTCAACTGCTGTAAATAATTTACTTTCAATGCCAAAACGGTTTATTTACATAGACATAGATTTATTAAAAATAATTTATTTTGGTGTCTTTTCTAACCGTTCTACAATAGTGTAAAATATGCAATAAGATGTAAATAGTAAGCTATTGAGAATTATAGAACGGTTTTTATAAGCATCCGAAGTTTGTCGGTCTAATTTCGGGACAACCTGTATATACGTCGTGGAAAATTGCTCCTCATTTGCGGACGCTGTGTATATACACAGCACCTTATTTAAATCTTTCGGTTAAAATTTTCTGTATTATATTATTCCATGCCAATGCCACACAACGACTATTTTTTGGTTGAAGCGCGCCACAATGAAAGGGTTAAAGGTAACACAAACATGCGATATATATAGTATACGATATCGTTCAGATTTTAATCTTATCTAAATCGGGGGAATCGATAAATCTGTGTCTATCTAAATCCGAACAGATACGATAAAATTTATTTCTATAAAATATCTATATACACATGCGTGTACGATGAATTTGGAGAAAATCGAGATTATGTGGATGCTGGACGGGCGTCGGGATACTCGATTATAGCTGCGAAATGTGTTTACGCGCCTCGACATATTCGTCGGAAGCGCACAATATAGCAATGCAACTCGCGACGTGCACTTGCACTTCACGACGTTGGTTAACGCGAAGAGAACGAAATTGCGTGAGCGAAGAAGCCTTGAAGCCTCCGAGCGAGTAGTTTTTTTACGCATAAATTAGCGCGCGTGCGTATTACTTCTTACGTTGTTGGTGTAATATATGCGTTGCTAGCCAATACGTTTGGTTATTGCGAAAATAGAACGAGTTGCTATTAAAGAGTTACATGTTGTGTACGTTTCTTGCAAATTGCATACGTATTTTTTTTCTTAATCAGTGAGCAACTGCTAATTATAAATTGTTACACAATCATTTACACGAGTAATTTAGTTATATATCGTTAGATAGGAATAACATTAACTTGCAGGAACGTATAAATAATTACAGCATATGTCAGTGGATTAAAAACAAGAAACAAAGGAATAACTGCGAGAATAGAGATCATTGCGCGCATTTAATTCTTTCTTTTGCGCGAATAACGACAGTAAATGAAATACTTCGGCGAAATCGCTCTTTATGCAGCGAATTAATTGTAACCCTCGCGAACGTTGCAGTCGATAGACCAGGCATTAAGTGGTAAACTGAAATCCTGCCGCTCGCTACTAGAGGCTGTCGGCTCCAACGTTGGCGAGTTTCGACGGTGAAGTCGCATATCTTATATAGTTTAGACATTGCTGAAAACAATTCAGTCCTCACAAGTTAGATTTCTCAACGCTAAAGAGATTTCCCAATCGATTGAAAATGACCTGCGATAAGCTGTTTTTCCGACATATGCCTCATCACTACTTCGATCTCAAGAAAATCGCAGCTGAAACGCATCGCTTATTATCCGAAGTGTATGGTGAGTAAACTCTATCGGAAAGAACATTTAGAGTTTGGTTTAAACGCTTTCGAAACGGTGATTTTGACGTGAGAGACAATGAATGTCCCGGACAGTCGAATAAATTTGAAGATGAGCTTTGCTCGATGAGGATCCAGCTCAAACGCTTTTAGAGTTGTCGAAAGCGTTAAATGTTACTCCAATAGCCGTCTCAAAACGCTTGCATGTCATGGGAAAAATTCGTAGGGAAAGGACATGGCTACTACATGAGTTGTCAGAAAATGCCATTTTGAATCGTTTGTCTATCGCGACTTCTTTGCTTGCCAGGCAAAGAAAAACGAATTTTTTTGTTGCATATCGTGAC